CTTAATAAGAGTTCACAGGTTTCACCGGAGTGGGTTGTAAACCGAAACTAGTGAAGCAGCAAAGGTCGCCTTGATTTCCTTCACACTGATAAATATGCAAAAATAAATTTTCGGACCCACTTTTGTCTTTATTCGGTCCAAGACTTGCCAAGGCCAGAGGTTTTGCTAGTGCTGCTGAAACTCAGTTTATGATGTATCTAACTTTTTCTCGTTATGAACAAGAGCTCGATCTTGACTTACTCAAATCGGCTCCCCAGTCGTCCTGTTTGTTACGACTTCCACCGCCAAAATCTCCCCAGCCGGTTAACGTTGAGCTCGTGCTCTTTGCTAAAAAAGCTTCATTTCGAAGGTTGCGTTGTTTTCAGAAACGTAAACTTGGAAGAGGCATAACACTTCATGAATAGTAGGAAAATGAGCTATTCCGTTCTAACCTACCTGTCAGACTTGGTGAGCCGGTTCCACTGGTAGGTTTGATTCCAAGTAAAGAGTCAATATCGTCAACTGCTAAAAACACACCAAATCAGGGAACAAATGAAAAGCTCTACAGTCTTGCTGCGGATGATGGGGCCTCTCAGTGAGGCTTGGTTCGGCGCGCCACTAACCCGTTCCACCACTACTAAAGCCGGTAAGTGACAACAAATGGTGGAAAACGACTGATACGAACGATATGATGCAGTTTTTTCGCTTGTTGAAAAAAGAAAAGGAATAGAAACGGGTTCGGACCGCAGCAATCCAATCTCCGCTGACTGGCCCAATCATCAGCCGTGAAGAAGACGTAAATCCAATTCGAGCTACCTGCAGCTTTCGGCTTTGAGGGGGCCAACTTCAAACCTCCTGTCGTCTTCTTTTCTGGAACAACTCGCTTCGGTGGAGGATCGATAGCAACCATTGGCGAGCCGAATGTTGGAGAAGGCTTTTGTAGCGTTGGAGGAGTAGGAGAGATCGTAGTAGGCTTCTGAAAACAACAAAAAAAAACCTTCCTGTATTTTAAAAGTTCTCCATGCCTACACTAGTACAATAGAGATCGCTGCGAGATCGAAGCGCTGCCGTCGTGAAGTCTGAACGCTGCTTCAAGAACTACACTTACAAGAGCTTCCCAACCGCCTGTCCAGTCTTCATCATCATCCATTTTCAAAGGAACTGGTGGCTCCATGGCATCTGCCCATTCATCAATCGAACCTGTACAAAAACATGCGGTTTCATGACTTCTCCTAATATTTTGTCGCAAAGTTCCTAGACAACAGTTTCGAAATAGCTTCGTAACCCGTGATTAGTTTGGCGTTGGCACTCTACAACAAAAGCTGAGGGTACTGTCATTCACCACTATAACAAATTCAAAACAAACCTATGTCCGCAGTATCCTCCAGTTCACCCCAACCATCAACATCAGGTGATGGCTCTGGTTGAATAGGCTTCTTGGTTTCCGCTGATGCTATAACAATCGAATAAAAAAACTCCTTTTTAGCTCAATACATTATTATAGTCTTGTTCTCTGGATGAAGGGGCGTGTCATGCGGGAAGGGTTTGGTGCCAAACTCGTTTTCCACTGCTAAAGCGAACAAACTTTATTGTACAAGGCGCGCTCCCGCTCACCTTCTTCTACATGTTTATATACCCAACTAATATCGGCTTTTCTTTTACCTGAACAGATGACCAACGTTCTTTCACCAATAACATCATACCTAACACGGTAACACGCTCCACTCACAACCGGTGTATCCCGCATTCTCAGTGAGTGACCAATTGGGTACCATAAATCTGTAGTACTCCAGGGGCAAAACCTAGCGATTTTGTTTTGAAATAGTACCCTCTTTACGTTTGAGGCGACGCCCTACGCACTGGTGGGCGCGGGTTTCAAGCAACACCCGCAGATAGACGGACTCTCACCAGGTGTTTATTTGGATGGACCCTTTCGCAATATCTGAACGCTCTAGGGGACCGGGTTACCGACATTTGTGGGAAGCACCCATGTCGGGTTTTTTTGGGGCCCCGGGGCCGCGACCCTTTCGGGTGCGTCTCCCCCATTTGATGGATGGGTCATCCATCTGCCAACCTTATTCCATTTTTCCTCCGTCTTGGGACTGCTTTGGAGCCGAATTATGAATTTTTCAGTGACATCGCTAACTTTCGGCGCACGCCCCGCCCACTGTGGGCGGGGCTTACCATGGGTCACGGGTGCTATTTACATCTTGTCCCATGCCCTACCCATCCCAATCTTGATCCCACCTCTCCAAGTTGTTCTTCTGGTAGAACCGAATTTCCGGATAGACAGAGAGATAACAAACAAACAAACGTAGCAAATTCACATAAAGTGGGTGATCTTTCGTATCAGTCTTTTCACACCAACAGTTACCGCTTACCCGCTTCAGTAAGTGGTGGAGAACGGGTTCTGCGCCGCGCGAAATCTGCCGCACCGCTTCATCCGCAGTGAACAAGACTTTAACCATCCCGCCAAATCTCAACTGACCTGCTGGCCGGTCTGCAGTCCCTGGAAGTAGTGTTTGAATCTGGAGCTGGAGAAGCAGCTGGACGATTTTCTGGTGGTGGGTTTCCTTTGTAGAATTTTCCAGAGAGTGATTTCAGGGCCCAACTCGCCCATTGAGGAACCTTGTCACTGTTGAGTAATGACCGACCACCAGCTTTCACTTGTGACTCGATTTCTGGTATCAATTCTGGGTGTTCGCTCGCCTTCTCCAAATTCTCCATGAAGCCTTTGATGGCCTTGAATGCTTGATCCCGGACCTGCACACGAATTCAATGCAGCTGACTATTATTCAAACTGGAATTATGCCTGCAATCACACCTGTTTCTCTGGATCACATGTCAACGGCGCAAGAGCGGGCAGTACACGATTAGCAACTTCAACAAGTGTGTAGAACTGTTGAGTGGCTGATAAAGCTAGGACAGCGGCCAGTCGAGAAGGAGGGAACGGATCCTCAAAGAGGTTCAAAGTGGAGTTTGAATAAAACACTTACACCAACAAAGCTTGTATTCTGATGTTTTACCTTCATTCCTCTTGCGAAGGCGCTTAAAAGAATCATTTGTCGCTTTGATGGGTCCAGGTAACTCGCAATTTTTCCTAGGCAAATTGTGGTATTCGTTCGGATACCGCCGTGTTCATCTGCTCCTGAAATGTAAAAAGGCATATTACACGTGTACGACAATTGCCAGAGTGTTAAAAAAAACACCTTGAAGTCTGGCCAAATATTTCATCAATTCCACATTAAGGTTGTTAAAATTCAGTTTTTCTGCTAAAGGCACCATCGCCTTGACAGTGCTTTCACGAACCGCCGGCGATGTGTCAA